TAATATCTACTACATCAGAAGTCCTGTCAGTTCTACTTTCAAAATAAATATATCCTGAATCTGTTCCCTTCTTTCCATCTCTCCTGCTACCACTCTAGTCCATCTATCATCTCTTTTTTTTTTTTATTTGGCGGTACGCAGGCCTCTCACTGTTGTGGCCTTTCCTGTTGCGAAGCACAGGCTCCGGACGCGCAGGCTCAGCGGCCATGGCTCACGGGCCCAGCCGCTCCGCGGCATGTGGGATCCTAATGGACTGGGGCACGAACCCACGTGCCCTGCATCGGCAGGTGGACTCTCAACCACTGTGCCACTAGGGAAGCCCCCATCTATCATCTCTTATCTGGACCAATGCAACAGCCACCATCTCCTTGTTTCCATTCTTGTGCCACTGCAGTACACTATAGCCACAATGATCTTATTATAACAAATTAGATCACGTTACACTCCTTCTTCAAAGTGTCCTATGGCTTCCCATCACAACGGAATAAAATCCAAAATTCCTTATACCCAATATGACTTGGTCCCAGCCTACCTTGGCAAGTTCACTTCCCTCACGCACACTAAAGAATCACACTAGCCTTCTCATAGTTTTAGAATAATCCAACGTTGTGATTGCCTTGGGGACCCTGAACTGGAGCATCCCTCTGCCTAGACTACTCTAACCTTAGTTCATGCAGATTGGCTCATCCTCATCATTCAGGGCTCAGTTCAAACTCCACTCTTCAGAGAGGCCTTTCCTGACCATTCCGGGTACAGCAGGGCTTTCAACCACTCACTGTCGAGCACATCACTCTGTTTTCTCTTCTTCCCAGCACTTTATCACTACCTGAAAATCTTATTTTTAAAATCTATGTATTGTCTATCTCTCCCAACACGTGAGGACCTTGTTCCCTGTTCATTGTTACACCCTATGCTGAAATAGCTGCCAGCACATTGTAGATGAAAATAATTACATGTTGAATGAATGACCTCTTGTGGCCTTGGTTCAAATTTCTTTGTCTCTGAACAAATGTTCAGGTTTAATAACCAGAGTGTTTTATACATTTATTCTGTTATGCCTCTTTAAACGACGTATGTGAACAAAAAGCATTTTATTAACTTCTGAACTCACATGTCCTCTCTTCTGTCTTTAAAGTATCATGGCAAGGATGGTTAAGTATTCTCTAAACATCACACAGACACAGAATGAAAAAAAAAAAAAGAACTAATGTTTGTTTTATGCCCCAAATTAAGAGAAGTCATTTCCAAATCTTAACCTAGGGATATCGGTTCATGACATTTTACCTTCAACAAGAAAATATCTACTTTATAGGTATAACTGTTAGGGATTAAAGTTTCTGTTGTTTGTTTGTGAATAAAAGAATCTTTATTTATTGATTGATTCCCATAGGTTTATTTTTTATTTTATTTTTTTATCATCTTTATTGGAGTATAATTGCTTTACAATAGTGTGTTAGTTTATAACAAGGGATTAAAGTTTTTAAAAAGTTATTTCTTTTTATTAATATTGTGGTTTCCTACTTATTTAAAGAATGAAAACTAAATCTGATTCTATGTTAAAAGTACTTAGTTGCTGACAATAGAATCTGTACAACATTGTTTTTAGAATAGCCCATTCATTCAACATACATGTACATCCTTAGCACACTGCCTAAAATGTGGTTACTGCATATGTATGTTGAATGAATGAATGGACCTCTCTAAACACAAACGTTGGGAAGACAGGCAAACAACAATTCTAATATAGTGCCACAACCAGTGTGTGCAGAGTAACATGTTAGAAGAGGCAAGGCTATAACTTGCCTTGTCTCTTCTAACATGTTAGAAGATGGAGGGGTCAGGAAAAGTGTGTGAGTGGAGCTGTGATACCTGGGATGAGTCTTGAGATAAACAGATAAGAGGAAAGGAAGCGCGCTCCAGACAAAGAAAATTTTAAATGTAAAGTCACCCTGGCTTGAGCAAGTAGGCAACATGTCAGAAGCACAAGAGCAAATGTGGGGCTTCCCTGGTGGCGCAGTGGTTAAGAATCCATCTGCCGTTGCAGGGGACACGGGTTGGAGCCCTGGTCTGGGAAGATCCCACATGCCACAGAGCAACTACGCCCATGCACCACAACTACTGAGCCTGCATGCCACAACTAATGAAGCCCACACACCTAGAGCCCGTGCTCCGCAACAAGAGAAGACATCACAATGAGAAGTCCGCGCACCACAACGAAGAGAAGTCCCTGCTCACTGCAACTAGAGAAATCCCGCAGGCAGTAACGAAGACCCAATGCAGCCAAAAATAATAAATAAGTTAATAAATTTTTTTTAAAAAGCACACCCAAAAAAAAAAAAAAGGAGCAAATGTGAAGGACGGGCAAAGGTGAGGCTGAAAATGTGGGCAAGATGCAGATAGTAAAGTGCCCTGTATACTACACTAAAGCATTCAGATTTTGTCCTATAAGGCACCTATACTGACCTCGAGGAATTCGTATTATGTAGCCTCGAGGTTATGAGATTTCTCTAGAGAAACGTTTTATTTTTAATTTGTTAAAAATCTAAATAAAAAAAAATTTTTGAACAAAAGGATACTCTGGATCACCTGGATGACTACCTTGTAATTGATTACAGTACTGTCACAAGATTTCAGTTCACACGTTTGTGTTTAGGACTGCACTGGCAAACAAGTGGTTTATCATTGGCACAGGTTTAATGAGAGACATGGAGACTTTTATGTAAATGATATTTGTCAAGTGAAGGTCAAATGAAATCATGACACAATGAACAAAGGAAGATTTTTACACTGGTTTAAATAAAGAAAAGAGGTGAAGTCACTGAGTAATCTCTCAACACAAGGACAATGCAGACAGGCCTTTCTGTAAGGAATTTATGCCCTGGAGGACAGTGAAGGTTTACTTTTTAGAGCATGATAGGTCCAGCAAAAACAGTCTCATTGGTAACAATAAATAAGCATTCATCAGAATTTATTTGTTTTATAGTTTTGCTTCATTTAATGTACAACCATTTATACCAAACATATTTTAAGTTCACCATAGAGAATCCTAGGTATCTACTTAGGTTTGAGAAATTCTGCTCTGGGTGACTGGGAGCCACTGAAAGATTAAATAGGGAAATGACAGATTTGTGCTTTAGAAAAATCACTCTGGCAGCAGTGTGGAGGGTTGGAATTGAAAGTATTTAAGAAAGGCAGAAAGGAGGCTACTTAACATAATAATGTGATAAAATAGTGAGGCCCTAAATTACTCCGGGGGGGGGGGCGGATATGAAGAGGAGATGGATAACAGAATCAAAAGCACTTGGCTGAGGGTGACAGAAAAGAGGGCATCTAGGATGACTGTCCCTTGGGTGACTTGGTGGTGAGATACAGACCACTGGGAGACAAACAAGTTGGGGTGAAGGGGAAGGAGAAAAAAAGAGGTGATCAATTCAATTCAGCAATGATTTGAATTTCATTTTCGCCAAAGAAAACCCAGTTATCTTTTCTGGGTTCGTTTTCTCAGTGACAGCTGCATTCATGAATTACCAAATTAACTATTATAGCGCTCTCTAAAAATATACAAAGCACTCCACAGTATGCTGTAAATAAGTCATGAAAAAATCAGCAAAAGCCCAGGCCCTAAAGGAAATTCAGCAGAGTTAAAAAGAGATATGACAAATTTTTCCTAAACACTTAAAACCAATGCACTCACCCAGTATTGTACTTTTTGCTCTGTCAGTCAAATGCAATCACTCCCTAGCCCACGTCTGAACAAGAGGCCACGTGGGAGATGCAAAGACACCACCCTCAAGGCACTTAAAAGCAAAGCAAGGGCCCTCGTCTGGTGCACGACTACTGAAACCTTAGTGTGGTAGGAATGTCATATCCTCAACAACCCAGCCCTTGAGGATATGACAGGAACCTTGACCCTACAGGCAGGGCTAGTCACAAAGTTATCTTTTACTTAGAGGAATCAACGTGGAGTACCCTAGGCAGTTCAATAACAATGTAAATATTTCATATTTCATTCCCGATAAGGAGGGGAAAAAAAGGCGAGAGTAAGGACAATGCAGCAATTATCGCAAAACCAGCCTCCGTCTCTGCGGACCACAAAAGGGCGGGCCTCCGGAAAAGTAATTGAACTCTAGTTTGGTGGGAATGCCAGCACCTTCACCACTAACTCATAATAACAAAAGCATAGTGTTTACGGACCCAAAAGGTTTAACCGTCCACCTCATCCACAACGTCCAACGCGTGACTGAAGGGAAAGCCGAGGGCGTACCTTTCTTTAGCACAAGACGCTGCCTTCGGGGGAGAGGGGCGGGAGCACACGACACTGCCCCGCTCTTGGCGCCCGGTCAGGGCCTCTCAGAGCAAAAGTCGGGGGCTGAGAGACGTTAAGGGTACCGGGGCGGCAAGGGACGGACCCCTGAATGCAGGGCTTGAACAGGTAACGGGGACCAAGAAGCTGCAGCACAGCGCGCCCAGGGCTCTCCCCTAGCGCCGCGGGCAGAACCGGAAAGACGCGCCAGCCCTACGGCGCAGCCTCCGCCGGGGCCAGAGGAGGCAGGGCCGGGCGGGGCCGCGGCCGGTTGGAGGCGGAGCCGGGGCAAGCGCTCGCTCCCCGCTGCCTTGTGGGGGTTGTGGTTCTGGGCAGAAGTCAAGATCAGTCCGAGGGCACTGGGAACTACATTTCCCAGTGAGTGAACGGCTCCGGCGGACCGCGCGTTACGGGCGTCGCAGTGCCGGCCGCCGGGTTCGGAGCCGGAGAGCATTTGAGGGGCCAGCCAGGAAGGGAGTTTCTTTTCCTTCTCAGTTGCCCGCTCTCGGGCGGCGCCGGCTCTGCCTAACCTCGCCCCACTGCCGTGCGCCCCCGCCCGGCTCCGGGTGTCAGCTTTTCCTGGGCCCCTCGGGGAGTTGGGGCCTGGAGGTTCGGAGGTAGCGGCCGCTGCCCGGCGCCGGAGTGAGGGGCGCACCCCTCTTGGGCCCTGCCAACTCCGCCACCGGCCCGCACCTCCATGGGCCCAAGCCAAAAACCCAACGTGTGCCGCAGGCTGAGTCGCCGGGCGCTGGGCTTCTTCTCTCGGGACGCGGGCGTGGTGCAGAGGACGAACCTGGGTATCCTGCGGGCGCTGGTGTAGAAAAATGAACTGCTAGGCGATTGGCGGGGGGTGGGGCTAGGGGTGGGAGTCAAGCTTCCGGCAGGGGTGCAGTTTTCACGCAATACAGCCCCATTTTAAGAAGATCACCCACGATGGGCTGGGTGATCCAGGCCTTGAACCTGGAGGATTAGTAAATAGCCTTTAATAGAACCGGCACATGCTTTTAGTTTTAACTTTCTTATGTTTTATTGCAGACAGTTTTTTTTTTTCTAAAAATTGGTCACCCCACTTAAGCCAAAACGTGAAGGCAGAGTGAGGAAGAATTGAACATAATTTTTTTTTTCAATTTTTATTTATTTATTTATTTATGGCTGTGTTGGCTCTTCGTTTCTGTGCAAGGGCTTTCTCTAGTTGCGGCAAGCGGGGGCCACTCTTCATCGCGGTGCGCCGACCTCTCACTATCGCGGCCTCTCGTTGCGGAGCGCAGGCTCACTAATTGTGGCTCATGGGCTAGTTGCTCCGCGGCATGTGGGATCTTCCCAGACGAGGGCTCGAACCCGTGTTCCGTGCCTTGGTAGGCAGAGTCTCAACCACTGCGCCACCAGGGAAGCCCGAACATAATGTTCTTTTAAGAACGTACATGAAATTACTTTGAAAACTGTAAATGTAACTCCAACTTAAAATTGGTGCACAGTAGAAACTTAGGAGTTATTTGCTAAATCGAAATTCCTTGTGTCTTTCAGGAAAGTACTAAGTTTAAGAATGTTTGGACAACTCATTCCAAGTCACCTATAGCCTATGAGAGAGGAAGAATATATTTTGACAACTATCGGTGCTGTGTCAGCAGGTATCTTTTTGGTGAAAGTTTTTGCTGTAATTCATTTGACTGTTGATCTTAACTCTAATTTTTATAGAAACACATGCCTACATTAGTGCTTAGTGAAATAGGAGAATGGAGAAATCGGTCCAAAATAAGGGTAGGGGTAAAATGCATGTAATTTTAAAATCTTGTTAAATCTAAAGTTTGAGGTTTTATCCTTGTAAACACCAACTTAAAGCAAATTTATATTGCAGGCAAAATGACAGATTGCTGAGTACAATGTAGTATTTTATTCTGCTTAAAAGCTACCAGAGTCAAGAGATCCAGGTACCTACTAATTAGATGCTGTTTTAGAGAAGGCTTTCTGTGTTTTGTTTTGAAACTACTTGCCTTTGTTTTAGAAGGGAATTTTCAAACTTGCTCAAGTAGAGAATAGCATAGTGAACCCCATATATTCATTACCTAGATTCAAAAAAGATCAAGATTTTGCCATTTGCTTATCTTTTCCCATCCCCTTTTCCTTTATTCCTTTGCTAAATATTTTAAAGCATATTCCAAACATCATGCCATACTTGTTTGCTTCTCTAAAAAAATATGGCTATTTTCTCTTTCTTTTTTAACAGCTTTGTAATTCACCCTTTTAAAGTGTACGATTTGATGATTTTTATTTCCTTGAAATTCAATGAAAATGAATTTGATGAACCACTGATGATTCATATAGACATCACTACAGTTAATTTTAGAACATTTTCATTACCTCAAAAAGAAACACTGTACCCTTTAGCTATCACCAGGATACCTTCATCACCCTCAGCCCTATGCAACTGCTAGTCTACTTTCTGTCTCTATAGATTCATCTGTTTTGGCCATTTAAAAAAATTGAATCACATAATATGGATTTTTGTGTGTGACTGGCTTCTTAGTAGATTACCAGTTTAATATAAAAGTTTATAGCTCAGGAACAGCCAGATGGAAGAGATGCATAGGGCAATGTATATGGGAAGGAGCACAGAGCTTCTATGCTCTCTGAGCCTGCCACTCTTCCTGAATCTCCATGTGTTCACCAACCCCAAAACACCTCTCCTTTTCTAATATATATATTTAATGCTGTACATTTCCCTCTAAGGACTGTTTTTGCTGCATCCCACAAATGTTGATACATTGTATATTCATTTTAAAATTTGAGAGCTTCTTTGATCCTTGTGTTAATTATAAATGTGTCATTTCATCTCCAAATATTTTGAGATTTTCCAGCTATCTTTCTGTTATTGATTTCTAATCTAATTCCACTGTGTTCTGAGAGCATATTTTGTATTATTTCTAGTTTTTTAAATTTGTTGAAGTGTACTTTATGGCCCAGAGTGTGGTCTATCTTGGTGAATGTTTCACGTAGGCTTGAGAAGAATGTGTATTCCCTTGTTGTTGGATGAAGTACTCTAAAGATGTCAGTTGGACCCAGCTGATTGATGGTACTGTTCAGTTCAGCTATATCCTTATGGACTCTGCTTGTTGGATCTGTCAGTTACTGATAGAGGTTGTTTTGAAGTCTCTAACTGTATTAGTGGATTTGTCTATTTCTCCTTGTGTTCTATAAGTTTTTGTCTCACATATTTTGACATTCTGTTGTTAGATGCATACACATTAATGCCACTCTTTATCCCTGATAATTTTCCTTGTCAAAGTCTGCTATGTCTGAAATTAATATGGCTACTCCAGCTTTCTTTGTTTCTTTGTCTTTTATTCTTTTTCTGCCTTCTCTGGTTTTAACTGAGCATCCTATGTGATTACATTTTCTCTCCACTTTAACATATCAATTGTATTTATTTTTTAAACTTTTTAGTGGTTGCCTTGGAACTTGCAGTATACATTTACAACTAATCTAAGTCACTTTCAAGTCATTTTCTCCTACTCTCTTCGTGAGTAGTGCAGCTACCTTTTAACAGTGTTTCTAATTCCTCCCTCCTGTCTTTTATTATATTGCTGTCATACATTTTACTTATCCATAAGCTATAATCATTGAATACCTTGTTGCTGAATACATTATTATAAACACATTTTTATCTGTTAAATCAATTAAGTATAAGAAAAACAATGGATTTTATTTTATCTTTATTTATTCCTTCTTTAACATTCTTCTTTTCTTTATGTAGATCTGAGTTTCTGACCTATATCATTTTTCTTCTCTCTGGAGAACTTCTTTGAGTTCTTAAGGCAGAACTTTCTTATAAGGCAGGTTCACTGACAACACATTCCCTCAATTTTTGTTTGTCTGAAAAAGTCTTATTTCTCCTCAACTTTTGAAGGATAACCTCTCAGGATACAGAATTCTAGGTTGGTGGGAGTTTGTTTTGTTTCATCACTTTAAATATTTCACTCCACTCTCTACTTGCTTGCATGGTTTCTGAAGAGAAGTCCAGTGTAATTCTTAACGTGTTCATCTGTAGGTAAGGTAATTTTTTTCCCTCTGCCGTCTTTCAAGATGTTCTCTTTGTTTTTGATTTTCTACAGTTGGAATATGGTATGCCTAGGTATAGATTTTTTGGTATTTATCATGCTTGGTGTTCTGTAAGCTTCCTATATATGTGGTTTGGTGTCTTTCATTAATTTTGGAAAATTTTCAGCCATTATTATTTCAGTATTTCTTCTGTTTTGTTCTCTTTCTTCTCCTTCTGGTATTCCCATTATGTGTACATTACACATTTTGCAATTTCCCACAGTTCTTAGATGTTCTGTTCTGCTTTTTTCATTCTTTTTTCTTTCTAGTTTGGGAAGTTTCTGTTGACATATGTTCAAGATCACTGATTCTCTCCTCGGCTGTGTCCAGTCTCCTGATAAGCCCATCAAAGACATTCTTCATTTGTATTATGGTGTTTTTGATTTCTAGCATTTCCTTTTGATTTTTCTTAGGATTTTTTTCTCTCTGCTTAATTAACCATCTGTTCCTCCATGTGTCCCCTTTTTCCATTAGAGTCCTTAGCATATTAATCATATTTATTTTAAGTTCCCAATCTGATAATTCCGAAACCTCCACCATAATTTAAGTCTGGTCCTCACACTTGCTTTGTCTCTTTAAACTTCGTATTTTGCATTTTAGCATGCCTTGCAATTTTTTGTTGAAAGTTGTACATGAAGTATTGGGTAAAAGGAATTGTAGTAAATAGGTCTTTAGAGTGAGGTTAATGTTTATCTGGCTAGGAGTTAGGCTATGTTTGTTGTTTGCTGTCACTGTAGGTGTCAGAGCCTAAAATTTTCTCTGGTGTTCTTGTTTTTGTCTCCCCAGTACTGACTCCAGCGGCTTGCTCCTGGGTTTTTGCTTCTAGTAAGCTGTGATTCTTGATATCCACCTCTCTCTCTCAGGGGGCAGCAATTTGCCCTCTGACCTCAATTATCTGATGTAACTAATAAGAGTTGTTGATTTTCAGTTTGCTTAGCTATTTTCTTGTTGTGAGGACAAGACTGATGGACCAGAAACCAGAAGTTAGAGACAGTGGTTTTTTAGGTAGTGTTTGAGATTTGTTCTGACCCTGGAGGGCTCCTCCCAGCAATCTTTTTCTGGTTCTCTCCAGCAAATTAGCCAGCCTACAGTTTAGCCTATATGGCCAGTGAATCTACAGATCTCTACTCATTTCATCACAGCCTCCACTGGTTGTGAGAGTGCTCTTAGGCTAGAACTTCTCACTCTGTTACAAATGAAGTCAGTTTCTCTGGGAAGAGACTTGGAGCTATCTGTTTTATGGCCTGCTTCTCCGCCAGGCAAAATCTTCAAGCCAAGGCTCTCAAGCTGGTGGAGGGAGAGGGTCAGTGGCACTTTTGCCTCTGAATGACTCCCCTACTCTAGCTGAGCACATGGGGTTGGGGCAGACATTAGCCTCGGATTTTCTTGCCACTCTCAATGTGGAACCACTGCTTTATGAGGTGGGATAAGGGTGATCAGAGCTCCAGTATTCTTAGGCATGGCAGGCCCAAGGTAGAGCCTCCATCCCATGAGTAGGGGCTAGGCAGAAGGGAGTCCCACCTCTTGACTGCACTAACCTAGGACCCAGGCCCAGCAACGAGGAGGTGGAGGCTGGATGGAAAATACTGTCATTCTACCCTTCAAGGGAAGGTAACCCTCTAGGAGCCGGGGGTTGAGGGAACCCTGTGCTCTTGGCTGTACCAGTCTGGAGTAGAGTTTTCATCTTGCTGAGCTAAGAATGGTGGAGAGGGAGCACATATTATTTCAAACACCATAGACTCTTACTGTTCTTACTGAGTTCTAGTAGATTTTTTTGAGTAAATGTTTTTTCATTTGTTATATGCCTCTAGGACCACTTCCAGAGACTTTAATTAGTTGTCCTTTTATAATTCTCACCATTTTCCTGGGGAGCATGTCCATAGAGCTCCTCATACTCCCATGCTAGAAGTGGAAATCTGGACATCTTATATCATCATAATGTCATTATTGTGCCCAGCAAAATTAACAGTAATTCTTTGGTATCATTTAATGCCCGTATTGTAACTTTTCCGATTTAGAGATAGCTGCTTTAATTGAAAATTTTAAAAAAATCAGAGTAAGTGGCATTGATTGGTGATCCAATGGTAAATGCCATTGGAGTTCTTTAATATTCCATTCAGGGGTGTTTTACCCATAGGTTAGAATCATATATGAGGTTGCTTTCATTCCTGTGAAATTCTGTTTGGTTTAAACCTTTGAGTCAGTGAGAGTACATCAAAGTTGAATAAAATTGTCACCCTAAAAATTGTTTCTAAATAGTAGTTTAATTTTAAAGTTCATGAGTTTAAAAAAATGAAAACATCTGTGTACACTTCTCAGTAGTAATCAGGGAAGTATATATTAAAGGTAAGAGACTATTTTTCATATCAAAAATATAGTGTTCAATATTGGCAGAAGTATAAGCTTATTCAACCTTTCTGAAACACAACTTGGGAGTAAAAAAAAAAAGCCTTAAAGGGTATTTCCTTCATTATCTACTAATTTGCATCGCAAATAAAGGAACTCTTTATCTAATTAATTTTCATTTTATGATGTTGGAATAACAGTTTATGAATGTGGAATTCAACAGAGATATTCATATTAAATGTTAAAGGATAAAGAAAGAATTCAGTATGCTCCAATTTTGGAAAGTGATCAGCAGGTGGGTATGTGTATATAAAGAAAAGCTAGAGGGAAATGAACCAAGATATTATCACTGAGCCAAAATGTTAATATTGGGTAGTTTTATACTATTATAATTTAATTTATTATATATTTTAGATTTTTTTCTATGAATGTGTATTATGAATTTTGTGATCAGAAAAAAAGTTAACATTTAATCAAGAAGAGGAAAACAAAGTAGCAAGTTGTATTTTTGGTATTCCAAATCTCTGAATTAAAAAAAAAAATCCCTCAAATCGGAGCAAACACTACCTCATTTATGAAGAAGAATAATCTTTTTTTTCCCCCAGCGTTGCATCAGAGCCAAGAAAACTTTATGAAATGCCAAAATGTTCCAAATCAGAAAAAATAGAGGATGCTTTATTATGGGAATGCCCAGTGGTAAGATTTGTTTTTAGAGCACTTATTTCTAAAGCATTTTTAGCCTAGAAGAACAGATTATTGTTAATATACTGCATAAAGAAATAAAACTTAAGTATCATAGTGATTCTTAAACTTTGAAAGGAATCAAGAAGAGAGCATATCTTTTGATTATCATTTTTCCTCACGAAGTAATTCCTTTCCTAAAAAATTATATTATTAATACTATGAATACATTTTTAACTTTTAATACCATTTGTAAATCTTGAAAACTAGAAAAAGTTATGAACTGATTAAGAGTTTTATAAGCAATATAAGCTAGTTTATAGTTATTCTTAACATTTAAGAGATTATTCTACTTAATATATTGAGACAATAAAATATTTATTTAGGGCAACAGTTATGTTACGTGACTTTTTTTTTTT